GGGGGGGGGTGTCCAGACGCGGGTGCGACCCGAGCGCGGGCCCCTCCCCGTGCGAGTATGTGCCATCATGGCGGCTGGGCATCCTCCGCGACTTGGTATGCCCGGGCGGGCCCGTGTGTTTGGCCAACCGGGAATCATCCGCACACAATGGCCCCGTATCACTTTGGGTGCCCTGTCTCCTTGGCTGCTTTGGCACCTACTTTTTGCTCCCCCTGCGCCTGCGCGTACTGCCCCCCCCCCCCCCCCTTGTAGGCCCATCTACACACACACACACACACACACACACACGTACTGTGCATTCACCCTGCACACAGACATCTCTAATACACACATGCATACATTTTTCCCACTCAACACACTGTCCTGTCCTCCACCATCACGAGCACCCCGGCAAACGCACGCCCGAGGCCGTCCTGCGGCCCGAAGGAGCCAGGCAGTTGCCGTCTGGTGTCTAGGCCTGAGCGGCGTTTAGGGAGAAGATGGCGCCGGGCAACCTCACACCCGGGGGACGGGGTCGGAACCGCCGGGCGGAGGCCAAGCTGATCGGGCATTACGGCTACTTTCCGGACCAGCGCACACCGCCAAGACTTGGCCAGGGCCGGCCCGACCGAGGGGGCTTTTTTCTGAGGCCCATGCCGCTGGGGGAGGGCGTTCGGCCGCCCGAGCGCAAACACCTCCCCTCCCCCCCCCCCTCCCACTGCCTCTGCTAGAGTTCCTTTTGCTCGGGGTCCCGCTCTCTCCCGCGTCCTGCTCGGGTGTCATTCCTCTGGTCTTTTTCTTCACCCCCCCCCCCTCACACACACACACACACACACACACACCCCTTCTCTCTGGTCCCGGCATGCCCGCCCCTACCCCTCGGGCGGTCAGCGCCCTGCAGATCCCTCAGCCGCAAGACGGGGCAAACAGCGCGCCAGATCGGTCGCCCATCCGGTCGCGGCCGTCGCTGGCCCCAGATGCGCATGTGGTGTCGCCCTTCCTCGGTCGTGCGGACGCCCAGTCCCGGCGGTCGAGCATCGCCTCGGCCACTTCCTTCTATGAAGTCGGGCTCAACCATGCGGCCATGCTCTGGGGCGGGCAGACGCCGCATCTGAATGATTTGCGCTTCGACTCGGCCAGCCAGCTGGATAGCCTGCACTATTTGAACATCGCGGTGGTGCCCTTCTCGGCCTCACCGCCGGGGCATACCGCGCCGGACTTCCTGGCCGCCCCTTCCTCCTCGAGCTGGGTGTCATTCTCGGATTTCGCCGAGATCCTCACCGAACATTGGTCCATGGATCCGAGCCATGCACGGGATGACATCAACCACCCGAGCAATGGCTTCCTCTATCGGGACTTCCTGCCGACCCCGCGCGCGGACGACGCGTCGGATCTGCTGGCCAGCGCCTTTGCCGGCCGCGGACCGACGACCGGCGGCTCGGAGGCCTCGTCCTCCGGGGCCGCGGCCACTACCGGGTCCCAGCGCCGGGCGGTACAGCCGCCGTCCAGTGGGGCGCGCCGTCGGGCGGGCGGCGCCCCGGCCGGCCCGGGCCCCCAGCCCCCGCCGGCCCTCGGTACCCAATTGCATCCGGGCAATCCGCATGCCATGGGCAATGTCAAGCTGCGCTTTTGGATTGGGCCAGGCTTCGTGGACAGCGTCAACTCCGGGAACTCCTACGTCGGGGGTGCTCGCATTAATGAGGGGGTCTGGCAGCAGGTGTTTGCCCACCGGCGCTTTGTGGCTGTACGTGTGGCCCAGGCTGCGCGGCATCCCGTCTGGTTGAGCGGGCTTGCCCCTTCCCTTCTCCTAGATGCTGGCACTGCTGCCGTTGATGTCGGGGGACTACCAGGGGCTTTTTTTTTGGGGGGGGGGGGGAGCGAGGGGAAAGAATGCTGCCTGTCTCGGAGTACTGACACTGCTCCGGTCTCTGCTGGGTGCTCTGCTGGGTGTTCTGCCGGGCATCCGCCAAATCAGGCAATTGGTGTGTTGGATTTGGCACACACCGAGGACGTTCCCTCGGCCCTGGACAAGATGAATGCCTTCTTCAATGACAATGTACGCTCGTGAGAGGGGGCCCGGCGCATTGTTGGCTGCCCTCTCTTCTTTTTTCTTTCCTTTTTTCCCGAGCCCCCTTCTCTTCCCTTCGCCTGTCGCCTGTCGCCTGTCGCCCCTTTTCCTCTGCCGCTATTTGGGTCTTTCTTGGCCGTTCGGTGCATCCTGACCTGCTGCCTTGGCCGCCGGACCACAGTTCCCGTACCTCACGACGGCCAAGATCATCGGCATCAATGCCCCGGTGGGGTTCCGGTCGACCGGGCAGCACAATGTCATCTTCCTGGACCAGGCCCTGAATGTCGGGAGCGGGGCCCTAGACGAGCAGTACTCGGAGGAGGACCGGCCGGACAATCATGCCAAGGCGGCGGCCCGATTCCCGCTGCTATTCAGCCACCTGGCCCCGATTGTGGAGGACCTGGCCGGGATGCTGTACAGCAACCTGGCCGGCCAGGCGTACGCCGCCTTCCACCGGATCCACGACCTGGCCACCTGCCAGGAGCAGGGTCAGGTCCCCGGGGCGGGGCTCCTGGACCCGCCCTTCATTGTGCCGGTGGATGCGGACTTCCTCGCGCCGACCGGGGCGCCCGTTCGCCCGGGGATGCCGGTCTTCAAGAAGATGACCTACGAGGACCGGGTGCGGCTGCGAGCCTGCCGCGTGTATGCCGACCTGCTGGCCAGCTGTGGGCATATCCTGCCGGCTTTCGAGGTGTATACGCATCTGATCGAGGAGACGCGCGGCCTGCCGGATCCGATCACCATTGCCGGCGCCCTGGAGGGCTGGCTCTATTGCATTATTCAGGCATTTGTGGTATGTCCAAAGAAAAGGCAGCCCCTTGGCAAGGGTTCGGCGACGTGTGGACACCCCCATCCCGCTGTTCCCCTCCCCCCTGCTACGCGCGCACACACACACACACATACATACATACATGCATATGTGTCCACACGCGCGCATGCTAACTACAGCCGATGCTTGCCCTGGCACAGGAGATTCGCGAGGACTATACCCCGGCTGCGCGGCAGAAGCATGGTGACATGGCCACCCTGCGGAAGCGCATCGCCAAAGCCATTCAGGACACATGCCGCCTGGTTTTCATCACCCTGCAGGGCCTTCTGCCCCCGGCCCCGGGATCCAGCGGCGGTGGCATGTTCAGCTCGGATCTCCTGCAGCCGGCCATCTTTTCGCCGGTCATGCAGCCACGCGGGGGCGCGGGCCGATTTGATGCGCCCCGACCGCGTGCCGCATCGTCCAGCAGCTCGGCCCTGTCAACCAGCAGCATGGGCATGACGAATGCAAGCGGGCCACACTCCACGTCGGCCTGGTCTTCGGTCCTGTCCCTGACGTCCGGCTCGGGCGGAGTCCTGCCTGGCTCCTCCGCATCTTCGGTCTCGGGCAACCCCTGGTTCGGGGAAGACGACTTCCTCTCGGGCCCGACACAGCGGACCCGGTCCAGCCAGCGGGCCGCGCTGCACCCCCTGCGTACATCCACCCCGGTGCCCTTCCCCTCCGGGGTGACTGCTTGCCCAGACAAGAGCGAGCCCTTCTCCATCCTGCTGGCCGAGTCGATGCTGCGCTTTGCCCGGGCGGCTGGTCGTTTTGGTGGGCTGGACTTCGCCCGGGCCCTGGTCCGAGAGCTTGGTGATCAGGTGTGGCAACTCCGGCCACTGGATTATGTGCGTTGTGCTTTTCCCTGCGGGGAGCCTCTGAAAGTGGGGGCGGGGGGGGGACAAGAAGAGATGGTGCTGTGGTATCGGTGCTGACACTTCCCGTCCATGCTCTGTTTCTTTTTTTCGTCGCTGCCACACGGGGTGGGGGCCATTGTCTTCCTCTTCTTTTCTTTACAGGCCACCCTGCACTTGCAAATCTCCGAGCTCTATCGGAGCCCCCTTCGTGCCACCAAGCGCCAATTCCTGCACTGCTACTTTTCGGCCTCAGTCTTGAAGAACAGTGCCACGACGGTGGGCCAATTTTGCGCGGCATACGACTGCCTGGCTTCACTGGGGACCTTCTTCCGCCTGAGGTGTCCCTCGCTGTCGGATGTGCCAGCCGATCAGCAGAGCACCCCCGCGCCATCCGAGAGTATGTTGTCCCTTTTGTGACCCTGGTGGCCTTCTGAGACCGGTGCCCTAACACGCCTGCTCTTCGACTCAGATGCCGGGCACTTGACGACCGGCTTCGAGCCTGAGGATGGCACGGATGGCCAGCCATCGCTCATTGAGCAGATGCTGTCTGCGCAGCAGGAGGGCATGGGCCTGGCGGCCGGCTTCTTTCATCTGCGAATGCTGCTGCTTTTCGACCTGGCCGAGATGTGTGCCACTCTCAGACGTACGTGACCGCGGGGGGAGGGGGAGGGGG